ATGTCCAAATACTTGGAGCCTATCAGGGACATTCTCATCAAACCACCACAGCTGGGCTGTCCTGAAACTCACTATATAGCCCAGATTGGCCTCAAACTCCTGTCTCGGCCTTCTGAATGCTAGGAGTAAACGTGTGAGCTTCCATATCTATCCCTCGTGTGCTTGTGCCCAGGCACATGCCACAGTCAGCATGTCACAGCTATATGTAGAAGTCAGAGGACAGTCTTGGGAGTTGATGCTCTCCTGTCGCTTTATGGAACCTGGGGACCAAACTTGGATCATCGGACCAGTGCCTCTACCTTCTGAGCAATCTCATGGGCCCTCATGTTTAATTTTGATCAAAGACTGTGTACTTCATACTTGAAGAAAAGATTGAGTATAGAAAGACAGTTTTGAATGTGTGTATGTATGTGTGATATGCATGCATGTTCAAATGTACAAATATGTGTGAGTGCATGTCTAGGTGCACATGTGTGCACGTACATGCATGTAGGTATGCATGTGGAGGCCTGAAATGGACATTGGTTGTCTTCCATGATTGCTGTCCATTTTATTTACTGAGTCAGAGTCTTTGGCTGAACCTAGAACTTGCCATTTCTGGCTAGTCTAGCCATCTTGTCCCATTGATTCCGTGTTTTTACTTTCAGAGTTCTGGGATCCAAACTCTGGTCCTCATGCTTGCACAGCTGGTCCTCATGCTTGCACAGCAAGTGCCATGTCCACTGAGCCATTTCCCCAGCCCCTAGAAAAATCATTTCACTAAGATTTTTGTAAGCATTATTTTAACTCTCCCCTCCATCTGCCCCAATTTTTAGTTCTGTTCTTTATTTCTAGCACTCTGAATTTTTTGTATGTCCCTCAGTGGGTTTTTTTTTAACTTTAAAAAAAAATATTTTATTATTTTTATTTTATGTGTATGAGTGTATTGTCTGCATGTGTGTGAGTGCACCCGTGTCGTGCAATGCTGTGGAGGTCAGAAGAGGGCTTTGGATTCCCCTAGAACTGGAGTTAAGGATGGTTTGTAGCCACCATGTGGGTGCTAGGAATCAAACCTTGGTTCTCTGCAAGAGCTGTCAGTGCTCTTGACTGCTGAACCATCTCTCCAGCCCCATCCTTCTTGTTTTTTAACTTAAAAAAACTTTATTGAGAATTTCATATGTGCATATAAGGTGTTTTGATCAAATCCACACTTACTCCCCTCCAACATCTCCCATATCTCCCCATCACTTTTTTTCTGACACCTACCTTCCTTCCTTCCTTCCTTCCTTCCTTCCTTGTTTCTTTTTTTTTTTGGTCTTTTTTGAGACAGGGTCTCCCAGTAGCCCCACCTGTAGCTTGGAACTCACTCTGTAGACCAGGCTGGCCTTGAACTCACAGAGATCCACCTGCCTCTGCCTCCCAAGTGCTGGGATTAAAAGTGTGCGCCACCGTACCCGGCTCCATTTCTTTTAATGGGGCTTTTTGCTACTCTAACATCTCCCCTCTGAAGAGGTAACCCTAAAATCTTTTAGGGATTAGATAAGAGCTCCTAAATACTTTTGACATTTTTGGCCTTTGGAACAGAGTGTGTTGCTAATGGGCCTAATTTTTTAACCTTCTTGATCATTGTGCTGGGAGCTGGGACCTTTTCATTGTAGAGAAAGTTCCTTAGAACTGGAAATTTTTCTCATACTTTCCTTCCATTGCCTTCTATCCCTCTCCTCATTTTTGCATTTTATTTTGTGTGCCCATGCACACATATGTGAATAGACAGCTTTTGAGAGCCAATTCTCTCCTATTATGTGGGTCCCAGCCATCTAACTCAGGTCATCAAGCTTGGTAGTAAGTGACCTCACCTATCGAGCTATCTTACCTGCTCTATTTTTTTTTGCGCACGGGGTGTGGGGGCGCGTGTTTCAGAGGTCCCACCCTTCCTCAAGACTTAGAGTTCATTGTTGCTAGGGGAAAGGACCCAGGAGGCCATGCCTCTCTCCAAGGATTTATAGATAGTAAACGATTGCTAGGGAGAGGGGCTAGAGAGACCACATACCTCTCCCCAAGGATATACAGATAGTTAATCATTGCTAAGGGAGAGAGATATTTTTTTTCTTCAGTAGTAGAGCAGCCGTAAGTTGCTCTTGCTCTTGTAAGTAACCCCCAATTTAAAAATGTAGAGAGGAGACTGGAAGAGTAAAAATAGGTGATGGGGAGGGGACTGGGCAAGAGGACATATGGGATATGAAAGAAGAAAGAGGTACGGGTGGGGGTGCACTGGCTGTGGAAGGCAGAGGTAGCAGATAAATGGAAGTGATGACAGGATTAGAATCTACTAAAGTACAATTTTGTTCAAAAATGCATAGTGATAACTAATATATTGTATGTTAATTTAATAAAACCTCATTGGTGCCAGGTAGTAGTGGGGCATGCCTTTAATCCCAACACTAGGGAGGCAGAGGCAGGTGAATCTCTGGGAGTTCAAGGCCAGGCTGTTCCCTACATGGTGAATCCAAGGCCTGTGAGGGCTTCTTAGTGACACTCTTGACTCATAAAGAAAAAAGAAACAAAAAAAAACCAACAAAATGCACAAAAATCTCATTGCTTTACCAAGTTACACTTGGGCAGAATTATTTGTTGCTCTTGCGGATGTCCTCTCTGGGGTGAGTAGACTTTTTATTTAGGAAACAATGTTCACATAACACCAAGGATGACCTTAAACTGCCTTTACCTCCAGGGTATTGAGATTGTTATAGGCGCATGCCACCATGCCTCGTTTATGCAGTGCTGGGAATTAAACCCAGGGCTTTGTGCATGCTAGACAAGTACTCTACCAACTGTGCTATAGTCCCAGTCCTGCTTTTCTCTATTCTTTTTCTAGTTTTGATTAGATGAGTGTTAAACATGTAGGTTTTTTTTTTTTTGTCTTTGAGACAGGGTCTCCCTGTAGCCCCAGCTGTCCTGGAACTCACTATGTAGACCAGGCTGACCTTGAACTCACAGAGATCCGCCTGCCTCTGCCTCCAGAGTGCTGGGATTTAAGGCGTGCACCACCAAACCCAGCAACATTTAAGATTTTTATTTCTAGCTGCACATAGGGGCATATGCTGACAACTGTAGTATTTGGGAAGTTGAGGCAAGAGAATGGTCATAAGTTTGAGTTCAGCCTGGGCTACATAGCAAATACCAGGTCAGTTAGGACTACATACATATTAAGACCCTATCTCAAAAAATGTATAGTTCCTTTTCTTTTAAAGTGTGTGTGTGTGTGTGCGCGCATGCGCATGCATGCACGAGCATATGAGGGTGCATAGGTGTCAAGGTGTGCAGGTGAAGGTTAGAGGACAACTTCAGGAGTCAAATCTCTACTTCCACTGTGGACTATAGGGATTATACTTAGGTCATCCAACTCGGACAGCAAGCACCTTTATCAAGTAAGCCATCTTGCTTGCCTTAAATTGGTATTTCTAACAATTGTGGCTTCCTTTGAGTCTGTGTCTGTGTTTCAGTTCCATTTGTATTGAATTTTCGCTTTTAGGATACTTAGTTTTTGAGACAGGTTCTCACTGTTGCCCTGGATTGTCTGGAACTCTATGTAGACCAGGCTGGTTTTGAACTCACAGAGATCTGCCTGCCTCTGCTTCTCAAGTGCTGGAATTAAAGGCATGGACCACCGTACCCAACCCATTTAAGATACTTTTTTCTAATTATGTATCTGTGTGTGAGTATGTGCATGTGTGTGCAAGTACCCACAGAGACCAGAGGCATTGGATCCCCCCTGAAACTGGAGTTACAGGTCTTGCGAGCTGCCTCTGCTAGAACCAAACTCAGGTCCTCTGGATGAGCAGTACATGCTCCTAACCACTGAGCCATCTCTCCAGGTCATTAGAATACTTTTGAATGAATTTCACCTGACTTATTTTAAATAATATTCAGAATGTTATTGTTTATAATACTGTGTCATATCTCTCTAAAGATGCTAGTTATGTTGTCTTTATTATTTCCTCCTGTTGTCTATCTCTGATTACTTTAACTTAAGGTCCTGAGATCTGTTTTACTGCTTTGGTCTTTCACATTAGAGGTGTTCCTAAAATTTCTTGTGTTCATTGGTTGTCCATGTCCATATTTTATGTGTGAGTCACTGAGCTGGCATGATGGCACACACTTGTAACCTTAGCACTCAGGATGCTGAGACAGGAGGATTGTGAATTGGGGGGCCAGCCTGAGGCTATGTAGTGAGGTACATGCCAGCCTGAATTACATACAAAACCCTCTTTCAAAAAAAGTGAGGCTCTAAAATGTTTTATGAGCTCTGTGTGACTATTCAGAACTTACAGGCTGGTAGCAATATTCACAGTATGTTCTTTGTTTAATTTCTTGAGGTGAGAAATGTCTAGTGTGCTCTTGACTGGAATAAACTTCACTAATTTTCCCTATTTTCATTTTAGTATGTAATCTGTACTTTGCTCTGTACCCAGTATCTGACTCTGGCCTGCAGTTCTCCCTCCTTCCAACCTATTGCCTCTTATTCTTAGTTTATCTCCTTTTTGTTAATTCAAGTGGTGTTTTTTTTTTCTGGTAATAACTAGGTATTACTCTTCTGTAGATATAATCATATCCTAGTCATATAATATAAACTTACTTTGATTAGATTTAATCTTAAATTTTTGGTCATTGTAACTCACTGCTGCCCTCCATTTTCTAGCTACCTAGTCCAATTTTTTTCTAGTTTTGTTTCATTCTAATACAGGGTTTCAGTGTGTAGCACAGGCTAGCTTCAAACACAAAATTCTACCTAAGCCTCCTGAGTGGTAGGGTTACAGGTTTACAGTACTACACCAGCTACTTACTAGTTTAGATCTTACAGATTGGGTTCTGAGTTTATTTTTGTTATGTGGATCAACTATGAATATCACTTCATTAGTTCCCTTTAGGATTATTAAAGTTTTTCTTAAATAACGTACTTCATATTACAGAAAAGTAATTTTTTTGAAAATAAGAATTGTCTCTCACTGTTTGATAATTAGGTCATTCAAAAATGGCAGAACTCGTCATGGAATGTGAAGAAGAAGAGTTGGAACCATGGCAGAAGAAAATCGAAGCATCTCAGAATCAAGATGATGATGATGATGAACTGATCTTTGTTGGCGAGATAGCAAGTTCCAAACCAGCCATTTCTAGTAAGCATTTACTTTGATGAAATTTGATATGATGGTTGTTGGGGGTTTTTTATTGGAAAAAAAACTGTGATTGCCTTATAAGTACTTGCTGTATTTGTTCTGTAAGAGCTGAGATATAAAACAAGGTAGAGATGGGGAGATGTCCTAGCAGTAAAAGCACTTGCCATGCAAGCAGCAAGTATGAGGAGTGGAATTCGGATTCCCAGAACCCATGTAAATGCCAAATGGGCATGGCAGCATTCCTATAATTGCAGTGCTTGGAAGGCAGAGATAGGGATCCCTGGAGCAAACTGGTAGCTAGACTAACCTTATTAGCAAGCTCCGAGTTGAATTGAGAGAGCCTCCCTCAATAAATAGAGTGAAGACTGATTGAGGAAGACTCCCAACATCAGGCTTGGGCCTCCATATGCATGCACACACGATTGAGGAAAACTCTCAACATTAGCCTTGGACTTCCTTATGCTTGTGAGTGCATGCACACGTGCGCACGTGTGCGCACACACACACACAGGTACAAACACATATACAGACATGTATATGCACCACATATACATGAAAGAAAAAAAATCAAGGTAAAGGTTAGTAAGAACTTAAGGTGACTTAAGGTGATCATGGTAGAGATGTGGTTCATGCACAGTAAAGAGGGTGAGAGGTTAAAATATGTGTAAGAAAGGGGGAAATAATTGACCAAAATTTAAGATTACCTGACAGCATTCTGTCTCCACTCCCATCACCCCCCCCCCATGGTCTCTTACTAGTTTCTAGATTTGTAAGGATTTTCCAATTGAAATACGTCTGTCTAAAGATTCAAAGCTAGCATCTACAGATGAAAGAGAACATGTGGCATTTGTTTTTCTGAGTCTGGGTTACCTTAGGGTGATCATTTCCAGCTTCATCCATTTACCTGCGAATTTCATAATTTCCCCCTTTTTTTTAAACAGATGAAAAGTATTCTGTTGTTTAAATATACCATACTTTCATTATTCATCAGTTGATGGACATCTAGGTTGTTTCCATTTCCTGGCTATTGTGAATAGGGCAGCAGTGAACATGGATAAGCAGGTATCTCTTCAGTAGGATATAGAGTCCTTTGGATATGTTCCCAAGAGTGGTATGGCTGGATCATGTGAAATATCTACTTTTAGCTTTTTGAGGAACCTTCACACTGATTCCAACAATGGCTACAACCATTTGTACTCTCACCAGCAGTAAGTAAATGGTTGCCTTTCCCCATGTCCAGCAATTGTCATTGTTTGTTTTGTGGATCTTAGCTATTTTGGCTGGGGTAAGAGGAAACCGCAAAGTAATTTTAATTTGTATTTCCCTGATAGATAGGATGAATTTAATGGGGTGGGAAATGGGAAGTTAGGGCAGAAGAAGGAGTAATAATAGGGATGACTAACACTAAAACCTTTTTGAAAGAGTCGTATGGAAACCTACCATAGAAGCTTCTTTCAATATATACATATGTAATATAAAAAGATTAATGCTGGGTGTGGTGGCACACGCCTGTAGTCCCAGCACTTGGGAGGCAGAGGCAGGCGGATCTCTGTGAGTTCAAGGCCAGCCTGGTCTACATAGTGAGTTCCAGGACAGCTGGAGCTACAGGGAGACCCTGCTTCAAAAAGCCAAAAAAAAAAAAAAGATTGAATGTAGTTACCCTATAACAGGGGTTCAGTGACTCTAATACTATGCCCACTGATGAAATAGTGGCACAAATGTTATGTGAGTAACCATTTTCTAATTTGATTGAAAGTTCACTTCACAAGATGGAGTCCATATCTGATATGGTTATCAGGGCCAAGAACCTTTGGTAGACAGGTCACAGGCCATAAGTAAAAACTGAGTCCTAATGACTTACTGTTATACCCATAGATTAGGTACATGTTTCAACTCTCACAAGAGAAGGTTCTTTTTGCAGTAGATACTAGGCAGTTAACACAGACCCACAACTGGTCACTGCACAGAGAATAAGAGCCTGCAGAGTGTTGAACCCTAAATGGGACACCTGTATTGTATCGTCTCCTCTTAAGGCTCAGATCATTGTAAAAGAGAGAGCAGAAAGGTTGTAAGAGCTGGATGTGGTAAATGAGTATAAGGAAACTATGTTGTATGGACACATACGACTCCACAACACTTGTATTAGCATGCACAAGACCTGTGCAAACTCAAGCCAGAGGGGTCCATTAGTATTTATTGGTAATGGATAGATGCTGGAAAAAGGAGAATCAGTTTTCCTTACTGGTGTGTATTCCTGGTTGGTTGACCAGACTACAAGAAACAGACCAACATTTTAAGAGCATTTAAGGAACAGATTAGACTCGGAAAAAAATACATAAACACATAAAAATATACATAATAGCATAAAGTCGGGGGCTGAGTAGTAAAGGAGGATGGGGAAAAGGGGTCTGAATGTAATCAAAATATACTATTTGAAGTTTTCAAATCAATAAAAATATTTTATTTAAAAAAAAAAAAAAAAACCTGTGCCTGGAGAGCCAGGTGTGATGCCGCATGCTTTTAATCCCAGCATTTGGGAGGCAGAGGCAGGCGGATCTCTGTGAAATCAAGGCCAGCCTGGTCTACACAGGAGTTCCAGACCAGCTGTGACTAGAGAGACCCTGTCTTTCCTGTGCTGGAGAATAATTTAGCAATGATGAATAAATGTAAATATGTACAAAGTCAAAAGAGAAACAAATACATGACAGCATTATAGACTTTCTGCAATCGGAAATACTACTTTAAAAAAAAAAAAGATTAACCCAGATGTGGTGGCTCATACCTTTCATCCCAGCACTTGAGAGGCAAAGGCAGGAGAATCTCTATAGGATCAAGGGTTGCCTAGTAGATATAGTAAGTTCTAGGCCAGCTGGGGCTATAAGAAGCCCTGTCTCAAAAAAATTTTTAAGGGGACTAGAGAGATGGCTCAGTGGTTACGAGCACCTGTTGCTCTTGCAAAGGACCCAGGTTTGGTTCCCAGGACCCACATAGTGGCTAATAGCCATCAGTAACTCCTGTTCCAGGGGATCCTACTCCCTCTGGCCTCTGAGGGCACTGCATATACCTACATACATGTAGGCAAAATACTCATACACATAAAATTTTTAAAAATTAATTGATTAAAAAAATGTAATTGTACTGTATTTATTTTGTGTGCACACATCATCATGCCATGACATTGGAGCAGAGATCAGAGGACAACCTGCAAGAGTGGATTCTCTCCTTCCACCATGAGGATGTCAGGGATAAAAGTCGGGTTGTCAAGCTTGGTGGCAAGCACCTTTACCAATTGAACTATCTCACTGGCCCCTCTAGTTTTTAAAGGATCCAAGTAACCTGTTTGTTAATTCTTTGTCTTTTCTCCCTTTAGTTCAAATGTGCAGAAAAGAGTTTGGAATGCCTTGCTTGAAATTTCAGAATATACTAAATAGGTTTGCATTAGTATCTGATAAGTGTTCTTACATCTGCATAACTGCTTCATCATTTGTATAGTATTATAGAGTGGAAAATTTAGGTGCTAGAATTCTTAGTATCATTTTCTGTGGCAAATTGGGAAGTGCCAAGTAGAGTGTCATTTAAATTAAAAATGGACAAGGTGGGACTCAGGTTAAGAGTACTGGCTGCTCTTGCAGAGGACCCAGGTTCAATTCCTAGTACCCACATAGCAACTAACAACCGTCCATAACTCCAGTTCTAGGGAATCTAAATGCCCTCTTCTGACCTCCATGGGCATTGCACATAAATGGTGCACATACATACATGCAGGCATGACATTCATACACATAAAACAAAAATAAATAAAAATTTAAATATATATTATGTATATATGGTAGGTAGTTTATTATTGTTAGTGGAGTAGAATATTATATTTTTATTTCTATTGATTCTGAAAATTTTTATGATTAAATACAACCTTATTTTAAAAGTGCAACTCAGATCATTGTATTGAAGAGATAATTCAGTTTTAAGTTGAATATATTGTAGACAACTGCTAACAATATTTAATAAGAATCATATCTATTAGTTTAAGTGAGTCTACAAAACGGGAATTAGAACCAGTAGAATTTGTTTTCCAAACTTATAACTCAGAATTCACATGATTTTATTGAGACTTTAGGTATATGCCATAAAATATATTCAGCATATAGAATATATGAGCTAAATATTTATTTAGAAAAGGGGATATAAAAGCCATCATAAAGTAGGAATAGTTTTGTGATCTTTTAAATAAATGCTTAAAATGGAAGCAATATCAGAGCCAGGCATGGACACATCTGTAATACTAGCATGAAGGCTAGGAATATTGAGAGTTCAGGGCTAGCTTGGGGTATATACTGAGACTCTGTCTCAAAAGAGTAACAGAAAAGTCACAGTATCAAATTATTTAAGCAAATAGGATTTTCTCTAGATTTCTGTAGTGCTGAGTCCTAGAATATTCATTTCCGTGACCGTATGTAATTCTATTCTTATGTATCCTTTTACTCCACAGAATACTTTATGTAATCTGATTCTTTCTATGAAGAGAAAAAGGGAAGGATTTTTTTATTTTTGAAGTTTTATGGAATGTTTCTATGCTTTTTTGCCTTTTTCTGATAAATTTTTTTAATATTTTTATTTTATGTGTATAAGTGTATTACCTGTATGTATGGAAGTGCACCCATGGCATTGCAGTACCCATGGAGGTCAGACGAGGTATTGGATCCCCTGAAACTGGAGTTAGTGACGACTGTTAGCCACCATGTGGATGCTGGGAACTGATCCTGGGCCCTCTGCAAGAGCAGCCAATGTTCTTAACCACTGAGCCATCTCTCCAGCCTGAAATTTTAAGCAAATTTTGACCTTCCCAATTTAAATTTGATTCCTTAATAATCTTAAAATTATGTTCATATGAGTTCAAGAGTTAGTGAAAATGATCTAGAGTATCCTGTCAGACTCAAATTGACTTCTAAAGTAGTGTATTTGAAACTAAACAAATACTGAAATCTAGGTTGAACGTTATCTGCAGTCTGATAATTTCCCATGTAGATGTCAAGTAATGATACTGATTAATCAAGAGCTGAGCATTCCAATCAACTGGTTCATAGTGAAATTTCGAGACATTTCGGAGTGTGAAATAGGGGATGGTGAGATGGCTCAGCAGTTAAGAACACTGACTGTTCTTGCAGAAGACCTGGGTTCAATTCCCAGCTCTCACATAGCAGCTAACAACTGTCTATAACTCCAGTTCCAGGGGATCTGACAGTCTCTTCTGTCCTTCGCAGGCATTTCACAACATGGGTGCACTTACCTACATGCAGGCATAACACTCATACACATAAAATAAAAATAATAAGTAAAATATTTTTAAAAGTGTGAAATGTGGCATGAGGATTGGGAGAGCTTTATTTTTGAGTAGCAATAATCTGAGTCATAAAATCTTGTCACCATTTGACGAGAAGAAATATATTTCTAGCATTGGTTGTGTATGAGTATTTTTAGAAAGTTTTTCATTACCTCAACTTACTATAATTAAATAATAAATTTGAAAATATTTTTGTAGATATTTTGAACAGAAGTAACTCCAACTCATCTTCAAAGGGACTGAAGAGTGTGTCGCTCAATCTAGGTACAGTATTACTCTATTATTTTAATTTTAAAGATTTTTTTTATTGCTGTGTATGCATGTGTGCCCGCCTGAGTTAATATGCAGCAATGTGTGCAGGTGCCCACAAAGGCCAGAAGAGGTCATCAGATCACCTGGGTCTGGAGTTACAGGTAGTTAGCCTCCTGATGTGGGGTGCTGGGAACTGAACCTTGGTCCTCTGCAAGAGCAGTAATGTTAAGATTCTCTTAACACCTGAGCCATTTTTCCAGTCCTTACTATTTTAATTTTAAAGTGAAATATTTGACATGATTGTGTAGGAATATATTTTATATACTGTGATTTTTACATACAGGTAATCCTAGTTTATTCAAGTCTGGAACTCAACACTATGAAACTTCAGCATCAAATCCAGTGGCTGCTTTTCCTACATTTCATCCTGAATCCAGATCTTCAGAGAGTTCTTCTATTGTTCAGACTGTGTCTAAACCTGTAAGTTTTTCTAAAACTTCATAGGATAGGAACACATTGAATATTATATATCAGGTTAGAATTGACAACTACTATAGCTACTTATCATAATTAATATCAGAAAATGTCTCTTTTTATATTATTAGTTCAAACAATACTCCAGTTATAAGTGCAGAAACTGTCCAAATGGTAATAAATAAGGTAATATGCTTAGATGGGAATAGTATTTTAGCCTGTATAGTCTAAATGCATGTAAAAAGATATAATCATTCACTGGGAATGGTGGCACATGCCTTTAATCCCAGCACTGGGGAGCAGAGACAGGCAGATCTCTGTGAGTTCAAGTCCAGCCTGGTCTACATAGTGCGTTCCAGGCCAGCTGGGGCTACAGGGAGACTCTGTCTCAAAAAGACCAAAAAAAAAAACATATAATCATTATTGACTGTTTCATAATGGCAGCCTTTTTGTTTGTACTAATTTTTAATTAAAAACAAATTGTATAATTGACACATTATAATGTTACATATGGCATACAATGTGATATTTCAATATATGTGTATAATTGCAGCTAACAAGATCAGTTTCCATATCTATCACCTCAACTATTTATCATTTCTTTATGTTAGCAATATTTAAAATCCTTTCTAAACCAGTTGTGATGTTCCATGCCCTTAATCCCATCAACTCAGTAGTTCAAGCAGATTTCTATGAGTTAAAGGCTAGCCTGGTCTACATAGCAAGTTCCAGGCCAGCTGGGGCCATGAGGAGAACCTCTCTCAAAAACTAACAATCATAAAATCCCTTCTATTGTAAGTTGTTCTTTTTTCTTTTTCTTTTTTTGGTCTTTTTGAAACAGGGTCTCCCTGTAGCCCCAGCTAGCCTGACATTTGCTATGTAGACCAGACTGGCCTCAATCTCACAGAAATTTGCCTGCCTCTGCCTCCCAAGTGCTGGGACTAAAAGGCATATGCCACCATACCTGGCTTGTAAGTTATTCATAAGCTATAGTTACTTCATTATATTAAAGAATACCATTAAGCTGACACAAATGATTATATATAGCAATATAGTCAATATATTGTGTGATATACAGCTATTCCTGATATATTCAGATCTACAAATCAATACTACAAAGACCCAACCTCAAATCCAATGGTTGATTGCTTAGATTATTTTTGTACAAAAATCTGACTAATACCCCTCTGCCCATCCCAGTCCCACTTACCCATATTCGTCTCTCTACTTTCAGGAAATCAACTTGTTTTGTTTTGTTTTGTTTTGTCCTTTTGAAGCAGGGTCTCCTGTAGCCCCAGTTGTCCTGGAACTCGGTATGTAGACCAGGCTGGCCTTGAACTCACAGAGATCCACCTGCCTCTGCCTCCCAAGTGCTGGGACTACAGGCGTGTACCACCACGCCTGGCAGGAAATCAACTTTTTAAAAGAGTAAACTGAGCTGGGTGTTCTTAATTGGGAAGATTATTCCAAAAAGTCATTGCTTTTATTCCTAAAACACATTTTTTCTTTTTATTATATTTTATTTTATGTGTATGAGTGTATAACCTGCATTTATGTAAGTGCGTCCATGTCGTGCTGTGCCTCAGAAGTCAGAAAAGGGCATTGAATCCCCTGGGACTGGAGTTAGGAATAGTGGTTAGCCACTATGTGGGTGCTGGGACTCAAACCTAGGTCCTCTGTGAGAGCAGCCAGTTCTCTTAACCCCTGAGCTGTTTCTCCAGCCCCTCAAAACATACTTTCATTGTTTAGTTTATAGTCTTTTAAGCCAGGCATGGTACCACATCCCTATGATCCTAGCACTTGTGAGGCAAAGGCAGTAGAATTATCAGTTCCAGGCCAGCATCAGCCTCAGGTTGAGTTCCTGAATAGACTGAGCTATGTAGTGACCCTGTCTCACAAACCAAAGCAAACCCCCAAATAAAACAGTAACAAAGAAACTTAATAGATGTAATAGTAATGTTTAATATTTGGAGATCTGTTAATATGTACAAATCTGTTCTAAATACTGTATGTAAATCTTATTTATTAGGACATCCATATAAGAGAAGCATTTTGCTTTGAAGAGGCTAAAGCTCAGAGAACCTAAATGATTCACTGAACACCAGCTAGTGACTGATAGATACAGGATTTCAAACCAGAATAACCCAGAGGTTTATATACACATCTGTCCATACATTTAAGTGTATACCTTTAAAAATAGAAGCATTGCTTTAGAACTATGGTATATAGAGTCATAGTGGTATAGACCTTTTAGGTCCACAAGACTCTTTCATGGACTCATGAGATTAAAAACTGTTGTCATAAAACTATAGCCCTGCCTTTTCCACCGTGTTGGTATTTTAGGAGACTCTAGATGATTACATTGTAAAGTCAGGGTTGAGGATGACAGGTACATACACTTTCTTAAAAAATATTTTTAGCCGGGCGTGGTGGCACACACCTTAAATCCCAGCACTCGGGAGGCAGAGACAGGCCAGCCTGGTCTACGTAGTAAGTTCCAGGACAGCTGGGGCTACAGGGAGACCCTGTCCTAAAAAGACCAAATATATATAAATTTTTATTTTGTGTGTATGAGTGTTTTGCCTGCATGTACATTAAGTGTACCATGTACATGCAATACACACATCAGCCAGAAGAGGGCATTGGATCCCTTGAACTGGAATTATGGGTGCTTGTTAGGTACCATGTGGGTGCCAGGAACTAAACCCGGGCCTTTCCACAAGAGCAACCAGTGCTCTTAACCAACAAGCCGTGTCTCCAGCCCAAGGTCCACACTCTTGAATGAATTGAAAATCTTGTATAAAGAATTACCTCTAAAAATTTTAAACAATTCTCTTTCTTCAAACAACTATTTTGGGGCAAAGAGGGAAATTATTATCATCATCTCTTTTAAAGTCAGCATGATACAACTTGGTTAGAAACAGACCTTGTTTTAGGTAAATCTAATCTAGCTATGTCATCAGAACCAAGCTTGGTGTTACTTAGAGCATTAATCATACTAAGACTTAGTTTATCTATTTATAAGATAGAAGATGATAAACTAAGGTCTTTTCACAGATATTTGTTATATTTTAGTGTGAATAAAGCAAATATACTTTAAATACGCAAATATTGGTGACTGCTTTGGTTGGAAATATAAATAGCTTGAAGCTTAGAAATAACTTTTTCAGAGTAACGTATTTAAATAAAATGAGTCCCAGTTTATCCACTCTTCTATCTTAGCATTGTATTTGATAACTTTCTCAACCATTTTATAATATGTAAGAAATTTCCAACTGGAGAATTAAATAAGTTATTGTTGAATAGTATGTCCTCTAAAATCATGGAATTGGCCAGAGTTGTCACCTTGAAGAAGGAACAATAAACTTATAGCCATTATTGCTTTAGTGTATGTCAAGGCATAATGCTGTTTATAATTTGTTTAAATGAATAAAGTTGCTTCTTATTGTCTCACGTTCTAAGAATGGATTGAATGGTTGGGGTAATTTTCATATCTGCCTTTGTAACTTTATTTATTTTGGGTTTTTTGTTTGTTTTATTTTTGCTTTTGTTTTTTGAGTTAGGGTCTCCCCATAGCCACAGTTGGTCTGGAACTCTCTATGTAGAGCAGGCTGGTCTTGATTTCACAGATCTTCGCTTTAAAAAAATATTGATTCAGGGCTAGAGAGTTGGTTCAGCAGTAAAGAGCACTGACTGCTCTTGTAGAGGACCCGGATTAGATTCTCAGCACCCAATGGTGGCTACAAACCATCCTTAACTCCAGTTCCAGGGGAATCCGATGCCTTCTTCTGATCTCTGCGGCATTGCACGACATGGGTACGCTCACATACATGGCAGGCAATACACTCATACACATAAAATAAAAATAAAAAATTAAAAAAATTATTATTGATTCATCACTGGGTGTGGTGGTGCTATGACCTTTAGGACCAGGCAGAGGTCAACCTGGTCTCCATAGTGAGTCCCAGGCCAACTAGGACCACAGGAATACCATGTCTCAAAAAGAGCAAAAGAATTTAATCTTCTATTTTTTAATTATTTAAAAATTATTTAAAATTAAGTAAAATTAAAAATCAAAAATTAAGTAAAATTATAAATTCAGTTCTTTTTTTTTTTTCGGTCCTTTTGAGACAGGGTCTCCCTGTAGCCCCAGCTGTCCTGGAACTCACTATGTAGACCAGGCTGGTCTTGAACTCACAGAGATCCACCTGCCTCTGCCTCCCGAGTGCTGGAATTAAAGGCGTGTGCCACCACGCCTGGCATAAATTCAGTTCTTAAGTTTCACTATGCTTAGTTCAGGTGTTTAATGATCACTTGAATCTCCCATATTTAACATCACCGATATAGAGAATGTCCATCAATATAGAAAATTCTTTTGGACTATGTTAATTTATACAAATCCTTCCTCTCTTCCTTCCCTACATTCTTCCCTCCCTCCCTACTTCTCTCCCAGTTATTCACCATTCTTTTAATTATTTTTCTTTTTAAATACATATTTTATTGAATTTTTGTGCATTTCATACAATGCATCTTAATCATATTTAGACCTCCTCCCCTAGCTGCACCCCCGCTGGCCTGTCCACTGGATTTCATGTGTTCTTTCATACATGTTAAGGTGTAATGAGACAAGTCTGTGTCCCCAGATGTCCTTTGGTGTGAGTTTATTCACTGCAACGTGTTCAGCCTATCTAGCGTCACTCTTAAAGAAGATCAACTCTCTCTCACAACAGTAGTTATCAGCTACCCGTAGTTCTCTAATGTAGACCAGGCTAACCTTGATCTCACAGATCTTTTCTGTTTTATTTTATTTTTGTCAGAGTCTCCCTAGTCCCAGACTCACTGTGTGGACCAAACTGGCCTTGATCTCATAGAGATCTCCTACCTTTGCCTCCCAAGGACTGGGATTAAAGACATGCACCACCATGCCCAACATAGATATTTCAGCACTTGGAGGCAGAGGCAGGTGGATCTCTGTGAGTTCAAGCCCGGCCTGGTCTACACAGTTCCAGGCCAGCTGGGGCTACAGGGAGGCCCTGTCTCAAAAAGACCACCCCCCCCAATATATACGTATATATATATTCTTTTATTGTATTTTAAATTATTTTGTGATTTTATTGTTTTTACATTTGTTTTTATAATTCGTTGATTTTTTTTATTTTAAAAATATTCATTTTAACATCTTTTTAAAAAATCATTTTTTGAGGTCTAATGTGGTAGTATATCCCTTTAATTCTAGCACTTGGGAGGCAGAGGCAAATGAATCTCTGTGAGTTAAGACCAGCCTATTCGTCGTAGTTAGTTCCAGGCCAGCCAGTGCTTCATAGTGAGTGAGACCTTGTCTGAAGAAAATGCTAAAAAACAAATTAATTCTTTGAGAACTTTATATAATGTATTTTTATCATATTCCCTCCCAGATCCTCCGCCTTGCTCATATTATCACTGTTTAAAATTTTTTTGCATTTTATTTAAAAGTAATGTTAGTTTTCTAGAAAACTATAACAACACAGAATGGCAATGTTTCTCACCCAATATGTGTACATTTTAGCAGAGTAGTAATAACATTTGTGTTTTTAACTTGTCAGTAATTGATTCATTAAGGTTATCTTTACAGTACTGGCATACAGTTGAATTTATGCTCATAAAAATTTACAAGCAAAACCACTTTAACATTTTACAGGATTTTTCAAAGACTTCATCGCAAGTTCATTCAGGTGCTTTTTCTGGCTTACTGTTGGACTCAACCAAGGATGCACCGTCCTCAGGGTTCCTGAAAAATATTACAGAAGGTTTGGTTCAGCACTTTCTCATAAAAACTATAAAAAGAAACCTGATTAATGTACATACAGAATTTCTCCTTTGGGTCTGGCAAGGTGGCTCAGCTGGTAAAGGTACCTGTTCCAATCCAAGCCTGAAGTCCTGAATTCAATGCCCAGAACCCATATGGCGGAAGTAGACAACTGACTCCTGAAATATGTCCTCTGAACTCAAATGGGTGCCATGACACCTTCATCCTCACAGAACTACATACAAGATGGATGGATGGATGGATGGATGGATGGATGGATGGATGGATGGATGGATGATGGATGGATGGCACTTTCATCCTCACAGAACTACACACAAGAGAGGGAGAGAGAGAGGGAGAGGGAAAGGGAGATGGAGTGGCAAGATGGCTCAACAGGTAAAGGTCAATTGCCACCAAGCTTAATGACTTGAGTGGCTAGAACCTACATGGTGGAAGGAGAGGAGAGAAATGACTCCTGTGAAAAGTCCTCTGACCTGGGCCCAAATACATATCTATACACATTAACAAAGAAAAAAAGGAATTTCTGGTTTTCAGTCAAAACTGTCCTGTTATTATTTTTTTTACATATATAATGGAGTAGAGGGGGCTAGAGAGATGGCCCAGCGGTTAAGAACACTGGTTGTTCTTACAGAAGACATGGGTTTGAATCCCAGCACTCACATGACAGCTCACAACTGTCCATAACTCCAGTCCCAGGGGATCCAACAGCCACTTCTGACCTCCGCAGGCATTGCACGATATGGGTGCACTTACCTACATGCAGGCAATACACGCATACACATAAAAATAATAAATAAAACTTAAAAAATGGAATAGAGCTAATCATATTTATTTAGTGTTTTTGAGAGAGGGTCTCCCTGTAGCCCCAGCTGGCCTGGAACTCACTATGTAGATCAGGCTGCTCTTGAGTTCACAGAGATCCGCCTATGTGTGCCTCTTGAGTACTGGGATCAAAGGCGAGTGCCAACACCCAGCAATAGAGCTTATCATTCTTAAATACTTCATGGGGGATTTTATATTTAATAATAGAATTTTTTTTCCTATTAAGTCGGCTAATGAGTTATTTGAACTTCTCATTTAGAGCTACCCGTGGGCTAAGAAATATAATTTCTGTGAGTCAGAGAAGTCACCTGATATAAATACTCTATAAATATATTATTTTGAGGCCGTTAATATGAGAAAAGTTTATGTCTGTAGTTGATTTCTTTGTAGCTTTTCTGTGTAATAAACAATATAGATATGATAGCTAAATGTGATAATAGAGTGGCATAAAATGGCAGGGCTAAAGAGATAATGATTTATACAAGATAAATACCAAGTACATATAAATATCAAGTATATATCCACTGAAGGAACAGACAGATGGTCCAGTTGAAGTAGAATTCCAGTTTTTTTCTACCATGACAAATTCTTCATCAGCCTAAAATAAATTAGTATGCCAGTGGAGGAATTTTTATCTAGATTTTTAAAAAATCCCTCTAATGGAAGAAATTACTGTTTATTGACTAATTTGATGTATTTCACTAAATACTGTTTTAAATACTCTGATTTTTAAATACTCTGATTTATTTCCTATGAAGTAGTATATTGCATTCTTCAAATCAAAGGAAAAATTTTAAAGTAATATGAGTGCCCAAAATATTTTCCCATTTTGGTAATATTTCATTTGAAATTAACCTGTCAGTATGCCTACTTAGAAAAATAGCCAAGAATAAAAATGGATACGGGAGATAAAATAGTTGTCTTAAGGGCAGGAGAGATGCAGAGGACCTGGATTCGATTCCCAGCACCTACACTGTGGCTGTTTGTTTATAACTCCAGTTCCAGTGAATCTGATGCCATCTTCTGACCTCTGCAGACATTGCACAACATGGGTGCACTTACACACATTTAGGCAGTACACTCGTACACATAAAATAATAAAATATTTTTAAAAATAGTTTCTTAAATTTGATTTTAAAAAAGATCTTATTCATAGATTAGTCAATTTGTGAAGCTGGTAGAGGTTAAAGACTCATACTCACCTTTACAACATTTCCCTGGGTGTGGTGGCACTTGCCTGAAATCGTTATACTTGGGAAGTGTAGGCAGAAGAACCAGGAGTTTGAAAGCTAGTCTTAGCTACATGAGACCCTGTCTCACACACAAAAAAAATCTTACTGCAATTAGTAGAGTTTTGTCCTAAATAGTAAACACTATTAAAGTTGGCTTAAAAGATAATGGTTTAAGGGGCTAGAGAGATGGCTCAGCAGTTAAGAGCACTTACTGCTCTTTCAGAGGTCCCAGGTTCGATTCCCAGCACCCACATGGAAGCTAGGAACCCTCCTTAACTCCAGTTCCAGGAGAATCTGATGTGCTCTTCTGCCCTCCCTCTGTGGCATCGCATGACATGGTGCACTCACATACATGCAGGAAATACACTTATACACATACAAATAATAAAAGATAATGGTCTAAGTCTCTATTCTAAAAGTTTTTATATCTTTATCAAGTCACCTAATCTCTTGACATTTCAGTTTTCTCACATTATTAAAACAGAAAATTTTATTTTTCTCTCAGTAATGCATTTATTCTCTGGACTCAGAATGAGCCATTTAGAGATAAGGGTTTCTAGGATTTTCTTGATACAAAAATAAAAAAGTAGAAGCTGCTTTATAAACTTTAAATGACTTACTGAACATTTATTACAGTAATGATTATGAATGTCATGTTTGGAAGCATGATTAATGGATTCTCTTGTCCAGGATAATCAAGGTGCCTATAGATTAGACTTGCGCTTCAATTAGAAGAAGGGAAATAGGACTTTTATGAAAATAAGATTCATTTTTAATTTATTCTTACATAATTTCATACATTTACATAATGTATTCTGGCCACATTCATCCCCCTACCCTCTTATTCTCCTTCCACCCTGAATTAGTTTGGTTTCTCTGTTGCTGTGATAAACACCATGACCAAAGCAAATTGGAAAGGGAGGGTGTATTTTGGCTTAACAGCTTTTAGTCCATTACCAAGAGAAGCCAAGGCAGGAACTGAAGGACAGACTGTGGAACAATGTTGTTACTGTCCTGCTCTGGCCTATTCTCAGCCTGCTTTCTTTTTAAAAAAAAAAAAATTTTAAGGGCTGGGCGTGGTGGTACACACCTTTAATCCCAGCACTCCAGGGCAGAGGTGGGCAGATCTCTGTGAGTTAAAGGCCAGCCTGGTCTACATAGCAAGTTCCAAGTTAGCTAGGGCTGTAGGAGACCCTGTCTCAAAAGACCAAGAAAAAAATTTCATTATTTTTGTTTTCTGTGTATGAGTGTATTGCCTGCAAGTATATAAGTGCACCCGTCTTGCGCAATGCCTGCAGAAGTCAGAAGAGTGCACCAGATCCCCTGGAACTAGGGTTATGGATAGTTGTTAGTCTCCATGTAGGTTATGGAAACCCAACCAGGGTCCTCTGCAAGAGCAGCCAGTAGTTGCCATCTCACCAGCCCCTCATCCTGCTTCCTAGGTACAACCCAGGACCACCTGTTTAGGAATGGCACCATACACAGTAGGCTAGGTCTTCCCACATCCCAACAATCACAAAGTTCCTCACAGCTGGGGGTGTTGGTACATGTTTTTACTCAAGAGTCAGGTAGATGAATTTCTCTGAGTTACAGGACAGCCTGGTCTGCATAGTGAATTTCAGATCAGCTGGGGCTATAGGGAGACCCTGTCTCAGAAAACAAAATGAAAACAAAACCAAGCTGGGTGTGAGGGTGCATGCCTTTAATTCCACCGACCCTGTAGGCAGAGGCAGGAGAATCTTTGCTAGTGAGGCCAGCCTGATAGCCTGGTCTATATAGCGATTTCCAAGCCAGCTGTGGCTACAGGGAGACCTTGTCTCAAAAAACGCCGGGCGTGGTGGCGCATGCCTTTAATCCCAGCACTTGGGAGGCAGAGGCAGGTGGATCTCTGTGAGTTCAAGGCCAGCCTGGTCTACATAGTGAGTTCCAGGACAGCTGGGGCTACAGGGAGACCCTTTCTCAAAAAGACAGAAAAAAAAACCCAAGCAAAAACAAAAAGAAAATACCTCATAGACATGACCACAGGCCAGTCTGATGGAGATAATACCATAATTGAGGTGCCCTCTTCCCAGGTGTGCCAAGTTGATAACTGAAACTATCCAGTACACACCTCTGCCAACTGCTGCTTCCTCCTACCAAGTCCCCGCCACAGTTTCATGCCTTTTTGTTGTTGTTTCTGCTTTATGACCCACTGGGTTTAACCAGGGCTGTCTGCAGATTTTTATTGACTTAGATAAAAACAGTTAAATGTAGGGACTAGTATAGACTGAAAGCAGTAGAAATAAGTTGAAGCAAGATGCTTTCAGTCTACACTAGTTATCTCAGAGTGATTTTCTTTAACATATATCTTCATCCTTTAAGAATTCTATATTAGGGGGCTTACTTTTCCAGAGGACCTGAGTTTGGTTCTGAACTCCCATGTGGAGCAGCCTACAACAACCTGCAACTCTAGTCCCAGGTGTCTGATGCCTTGTTTTTGCAACTCTAGTCCCAGGTGTCTGATGCCTTGTTTTTGCCTCTGCAGGCATGCACATAGTGGTACAGACAGATAAACACACACATATACATAAGTAAAAATAATAAAAATAAAACTTTTTAAAATTATATATTAAAAGTCTATTTGTTACTAACATATTACCGTGTCCAGAACACCAATATTTGTTGATTGTTCAAGTAATAATGAGCATCTCAAAAGAATGTTAAAGTAACTACACAAAAGTCAGTCTCAAGTGCTGGCAGTGTAACATTCAGTAATCATATTCTCTAATGATAGAAAAAAAATTTTATGTCATAAAGTACAATTGATTTGGGGTTATTTTTAAAAACCTGTCTTCTCTGTATCTGGTTTATAACCTAAATCATGCAGATACCATTAATTACATAATCTTTTGGATGTTAAGATGATAGTTTTCAAATCCAACTATTTCTTAGAAGGAAATCCCTGTTCAAACTGCAAAAGTCAAATAAAAAAATAAAAGGAAAGTCACTGTAAAATGCCCATTATATTTATTAGAGTCAAGAAAACATAGCTTGAAAGCCATTGCAATAACTCTAGATCTTTTTATGAATGAGTGAAGTATTTTTGTTTCTACTTAATATACAGGGAATAATTAAACCATTTGTCAGGTTATTTGTTTTTAAATGAAGTTTTTAAAATACTTTTTCATGGCCAGGCGTGGTGGCACAAACCTTTAATCCCAGCACTTGGGAGGCAGAGGCAGGCAGCTCCTCTGAGTTCAAGGCCAGCCTGGTCTACAGAGTGAGTTCCAGGCACCTGGAGCTACAGGGAGACCCTGTCTCAAAAAGACAAAAAAAAAACTTTTTCATTTATTATTTTTTGTGTATAAGTGTATTATCTGCATGTGTGTAAGTGCACCCTTGCCATGCAAATGCCTGAGGAGGTCAGAAGATGGTGTTGGATCTCCTGGAACTAGAGTTATGGACAATTGTTAGCTGCCATGGTGGTGCTGGGAATTGAACCAAGGTCCTCTGCAAGAGCAGTCAGTGCTCTTAACTGCTGAGCTGTATCTCCAGCCCCTTGTCAGGTTATTTGTTGAGAGAAGAGACAACTTTAATTTTCCACTAGATAGCTCAAGATTGCTAAAACACCTTTAAAGAATTTCTCTGAATTTTAGAATAAATATTTTTAAGCTCAAATGCATTTAGTCCCCAGAAGATAAATTCATTTGTAAGAACTTAGCTGAGATTAAATTTAATTTTTTAAAAACTGTTGATACTACTATTTGGGTTTTGTTCCTTTTTGGCCTGACTTCTTGGGTGGGTAGCTTTATTTGAAAGGATCTTTAATATTTCGTGTATGAAGTATGTTTTATGACTCTGAAATATATATAATCCACAGAAGCTGCTTGTACAGTTTCTACTTCTTGGTTATATATAAGTAATAGTCTGTGCTAAAGCATTTATAAATATCTTTTCCTGCTGTTTAAATCTTGTAGGTATGGATCAGACCTCATTAGGACTAAAACATTCTTCCATATCTAATGTAAAGAGTATTATTAATCCAAAAAAGCCAAAGACCAGTGAAAGTGTTTCTGAAACAAGTCCTTCCTCTTCATCATCTTTAAGTAAGCCTCCTTCAGAGGCATCTTCCCAGCCTGTAGTATCAGCAGGTAAGTATGAATCTAGCATATGAAAATAAAATGTATGAGTTATAAATTGTGATGGATTTTGAAAGCTAAGTTTTTAAAAGAGTGATTTTACTCATAAAAGTTCTTGACTTATTTTAGATTTCAGTACCTCATCAGTTCAGTCTGAAACTGGAGCATCTTCACTAAGATCTTGTCCAAAGTGCAATGTTAAGTTCAGTTTTTTGGATCCTTTGAAATACCACATGAAGGTAAAAAGTGTTTCAAAATTTGATTTTTTAAAATGTTTATGCATATCTAAAAATATTAAGGATGATAGTAAATATTGATTTGTCCATATAATTAATAACTTTTCTTGTATTGGCATTTTTATATAAGTAAAAGATTTTCACAATGATTCTCTCTTACAAGATTTAACTTCTTCCCAATCACATATTATAAAGCTTATGTTCATATACACACTCCAGTTTGTACATGTTGCATTTCAATTTTACATGTTTATAAATTAATGAGAATATTTTTTTGATTAAATCATGCCATTCATACTTCTAGAAAACAGGCATTTTATTACTTAATTTTCATATAACTTAATTTTTCTGTGACAACATATTTCATATTTCTCAATGAAAATCTTAGTTTTTAATTTTCAGTACTCAGAAATTCCTAATGGAGACTTCTATGCTAGCTTTATATTGGCATATGAAGCTCTTGGAATTAGGTTTTAGGTAAATTTGAAACTAATAATGAAGAACAGCATTTAGAGGGTGTTCCACTTAAAATATGTTAAAAGATAGCATAGTATTGTTATGTCTGATTTTTATTGAAATTCCACATTTTGGAGAAAAGTTAGAGAAGTGAGAATGAATGACCAAAACTCCAGATACAAATCTCTATTCTGCGAGCAAAATTGATATCGGATCTATTGGTATATTGACTTCCCTGAGCATGTGAGAAAGGTGAATCCAATTTCATACTACCAGTATTTGCTTTAATATTTTCCTATTCTACTTTGCATTTTCTTTAGAATATAGATGTATATCTCTCTTAACTTCACTGGCATTTTGCCTTATTGCTCAATGCTTTTTAGCCTAAATTCCATCCTTAGTATCTTTTGTGTGTATATGAAGGTGTATGATGCATATTTGTGTGTGTGTGTCTGTGTGTGTCTATAAATGTGTGTTTACCGCGGCACAAGTGAAGGTCAGAGTACAGCTTTCCAACTTGGTTGAGACAGGGTCACTTTGTTGTTTCCTGCAGCCTATGCCAGATTCTCCTGTCTCTGCCTCCTATCTTACTATAGGAGTTCTAGGGTCACATAAACTTGTGCTCTCATGTCTAGCCTTGTGTGAATTATGTGTATTTGAATTCAAGTCCTCACCTTTGTGCAACAAATGCTTTAACCACTGAAACATCTCCCCAGCCCTCTTAATCGATCCTTGCTTTCTTGTATCTACTTGTTATATTCTTATTTTACTCTTTTGTTTTCAATATTTCTAAAGCACTTTGTTACTTGTATATTTCTTATTTTTGCATGTGTTGCTATTTCTTTCTATATGAAATTTTTTTTGGTCTCTTTGAGACAGGGTCTCCCTGTAGCCGCAGCTGGCCTGGAACTCAATATGTAGACCAGGCTGGACTTGAACTCACAGAGATCCGCCTGCCTCTGCCTCCCAAGTGCTGGGATTAAAGGCATGTACCGCCATGCCTGGCCATTTTTTTTAATGTAATATCTTCTGAGTCTATCCATGTTGTTGCAAAAGGTAGAATTTCCTCCTATAAATATTTTTATTTTATATATTTATTACTTTTATGTGTATGAGTGTATTGCCTGCATATATGTAAGTGCTCTCATGTCATGGAATGCCCACAGAGGTCAGAAGAGGGCATTGGATCCCCTGGAACTGGAATTACAGGCAGTTATTAGCTGCCATGTGGGTGCTGGGAATCAAACCTGGATCCTCTGCTAGAGTAGCAAGTGCTCTTAACTGCCAAGCCATCCCTCCAGTCCCATATTTTTATTTTATGTGTAAATGTGTTTTGAATGCATGTATGTAAGTGCACCACGTGTGCAATGCCCACAGAGGGCAGAAGAGGGCATTGGATCCCCTGGAACTGAAGTGAAGGACAGTTGTAAGCCACCATGTAGCCTGGGTTCTCTACAGGAGCAGCTAGTGCTTTTTAACTGCTGAGCCACCTCTCCTGCCCTCTCCTTTCTTAAGGCCAAAAGATATTCAGTACTATCTATATACCACAATTGTCAGTTCCTGTGCCTTTATTTTCCAAAATTTTATTAGAAAATTAAAATTTACATAATGAGAACTGATGAAAGATAATAGGCATCAAGATAAACATAAAAATGAGGCAGGGCATGGTAGTGAATACCTTTAATCTCAGTACATGGGAGAGAGAGGCAGGTGGATATTTGTGAGATCAAGGGCTTGCCTGGTCTACATGGCAAGTTCTAGGCCATCTGATGCTATAGAGAGACCCTGTCTCAGATAAATATATAAAAAAGAATAAACTCTGGAAATAACTAAATGTATAGAAATATATATAAAAAAAAAAACAGAATACCAACATTTTCCATACCATTTCCTATCAGAAGAGGAAATAACATCTGGAGAAAAGGTGGAACAGTAATTCCTAACGGAACATAATCAAGAATTTTAAATTTTCTCATGAATGGTCAGATGTTAATCTAATCAGTCATGACTTTAGGTTTTAAATGTAGCATAAATAGCATTACTGAGATTTAACTATACAGTAGTTTTCCTCTGAAAATAATTTTATCACCTCTTATGCATAAGCCCCTTTCTAATTTTCCTGGCATCTGTGTTTATTTTTAAATCATTTGGGGCAAAGGTGATGACATTCTTGTTATTTGTTATTATTATTGTGCTATTGAATTTTAAGATTTTTTTTCCTTTTAACCACTCAGACTGTACTCCTTCCCTGTAATTTCTTTTGTCTTTGTTTAACTTTTAAAAAAACTATTCAGAATTTCATATATGCATATAAGGTATTTTGCTCAAATCCATGCCCACTCTCCCCCCTCCAACACCTCCCATATCTCCCCATCACATTTTTCTGACAACTTTGTGTACTTTGTCCCTTCCTTCCTTCCTTCCTTCCTTCCTTCCTTCCTTCCTTCCTTCCTCCCTCCCTCCCTCCCTCCCTCCCTTTTTTTATTAACATATTCAATAACAATTTCCAGAGCAAAGATGCATCTCTTTCAAAAGTGTCTGTAAATTTTTAGGTTCACAGTTGAAATAATACAGTTATACCATATTGAACTCAGTATAAACCCTATGAGACATAGAATTAAATGAGGTTTTAGCCTTTAAAAAAGATCTCCCTTTCATTTTAAAATATACTGTTTCCTTCAGAAAAACTCATTTTTAATGCTAGTAACACTTAGATGTTTGTACATGCGCCTCTAATCTCTATGTATCTGATTATTACTAGTTATAGTCGGTTACATTCAGATCCTTGGCACATGAGTATGGATATAAAGTCATCAGGTAGATTTCAATGGTAATGTGTTTCACCTCTACTCATTAACATGAAGCAAAGTTTTATGCTTCTTCCTCAAATATAACTCATTTCTTTAATTTGTTTATTTTTTGTGTGTTTATTTCATACAGAACATCCCAAACAATCTTATTCATCTATATACCCACTTCCCAAATGGCACCCTCCCATAGCCCCCCCCCCAAACTGGAGCCCATATACTCTGTCATCCCTGTTACTGTTCACTGTGTTGTCAGTGCCCCCAGCCATTCCCCAGTGCTTCTCCATCCACGGAACCTAATCAGCCTATCTACAGTTCCTTGTTTTAGGAAGATCAGCTCTATCCTCATCTAGCAGCAATCACTTGTCAATATTCCTTTAGATGAGATTGGGGTCTGCTATTCATTTTCCCAGTTCTATGCTGGGTTACTGTCTGGGAGTCTCTTGGGCCACCCTGGCCAGCAACTCAAAGGAAGGGATCTCCTGTCTGGCATTATTTCTTGTTTTGTAGCCTTTAGCTATACACATGGACTCTAAAGAATTATATTAATCCTTTTAATCTTTGGTTATACATACAGTTGGCCCAGATAAACCAATTTATTTTTATTCTTAAGGCCATTTGAGGATCTGTTCCTCAGGGGTCACATGAGCTTGGGAGGCTACTTTCTTTTACCAGTTCCATCTATGTGAAGATAAGTCAAAGATCCAGTTTTGCCAGCACCATTTGCTGAACATGCTGTCTTTCCTCCAGTGAATGTTCTTGGCCCCTTTGTCAAATATCAGGTGGCTGAAATCATATTTACTCATATTTGGGTCTTCAGTTTTGTTCCATTGATCTGAGTCTATTTTTATGCCAGTGCCATGTTGTTTTATGACTACAGCTCTGTAATACAATTTAAAATCTGGTATAGTAATCCCCCCCAGCATTGCTCTTAGTGCTCAAGGTTGCTTTGACTATCTGAGGTCTTTTGTGCTTCCATATGAATCTTAGGATTTTTTTCCCAGTTCTATGAAGAATGTCATGGGGATTTTGATTAGCATTGAATCTATAAATGGCTTTTGGTAGGATGGTCATTTTCACAATATTAAATTAATTCTTCTAATCCATGAGCAAGGAAGGTCCTTCCATCTTCTGATGTCTTCCTCAATCTCTAAAGATTTAAAAATTTTCATTGTAGAGGTCTTTAGTGTCTTTGGTCAAGTTTATTCCGAGATATTTTTTTTGCAGCTATTGTGAAAGGGAGTGTTTGCATGTACTCTTTCTCTTGATTGCTTGTTATTGGTATATGGAAAGGGTAGAGACTTTTGTAGATTAATTGTGTAACCTGCCACCTTACTGAACATGTTAATAATTTCTAGGAGTTTTCTGGTGGAATTTTTGGCACCTCTTAAATATAATATATCATCTACGAAAAGGGACAATTTGATCTCTTCTTTTCCAATTATTACTCCTTTAATATCCTTCTCTTGTCTTATTGCTTT